CCGTGCGCGGGGGAAGAAGGTCATCCCAACCTGATTCCATTGCAGAAAAGCCTCTTCCTTTCGTTTGTACCACCATCTATGGGCAAGAAGAGCCCAGGCTCCAAAAACCGTGATTGCTGCGAGGCACCCAGCAAGCGCCGCTCCAACGACATTCCAGTTAGTATGCGTATCTGAGTAAAGTGGGGGTACATGATCGGTGGCGAGGTCCTCGCAGGTCCCAGATTGGCATGATGCGTCCAGCGACAATGTTTCAGCCCCACGCTCCATCTGAGACAGCCCGAATAAGCCACAGAAGGGGGAAAGAAAACAAATGCCTTTTTGTGCTCAGCTTAGACTTGAAAAAGTTAAATGGTTGTCCTTCAGGACATCCGTTAAAATTGGAACGATACAGCGAAAGAGAAGATTAGCATGGCCCCTGCGCAAGGATGACACACATAGATCGAGAAATGGTCCTCGTTAGGAAAAAAAAAAAAGGTTAAAAAGTTAAAAAAACTTAAAAAAAACTAAAAAAAGTTAAATCGCAAGCCCGCACCGGTCTCCCAAGCAGAATAGGGAGAAGTGTAGGTGTGTGCTATTGATGTAAGTTTTTGACTTGCCGGCTAGGCTACCAGCCGGGCCGCCCGGGTCACCTTGTTTTCCCAGGCAGCCCAGTCGTGCAAGGACCAGGGAAGGTCCCAGCCAAAAAAAAAAAAAAAAAACACTATGTTATGCAAGGACCATCGAAATCGGAAAATTTCTTTACCTTTTTATTTTTCTTTTTCCTTTTTTTTTTTGTGTGGCCCGGCCAGGCAAGTGGTCCCGGGCCTCTCTGGTAGCCTAGCGAAGTTGTGGGCAAACAGAGAACCCAACTGACACTCCCCAGAATGGATATGGACCCCGAACCTTAAGGTTCTACTTTTGGGGGGACAAAAAAACAAAAAAGCTAAAATTGCCGCAAAATGGCATATTTGATACATACACCCATCATCTTCTGATCTTGCAAACAGAGGCTCTATATTTTGGACAGTTCAACTTCAGCCACCTGTACCTCTCCCAGCCGTTTTCTTCCGATGCCATTTATTTACAACCGCTATTTTTGGGGCTTCAGAGTGCCGGATCTCTTTGACTGTCAGCGACTCAGCGCCAGCCAGATCTCTTTGACGGTCAGCGACTCAGCGCCAGCCAGATCTCTTTGACGGTCAGCGACTCAGCACCATCCAGAAAGGACGGAAGGATGTGCCGCGCTGTTTTAATATCTTTCTTGGGGCGGCGCAGCGCAAATCTGCCAAAGGGAAAAGAGGTTTGGAGGTGATGGGGTTCTGAGAGGTGACAGGAAGAAGAACAAGAAGGACAACAACAATAACAAAAGAATTGCCTTTGTGTCGGTCGAGGCTATCAGCCGGGCCGCCCGGGTCACCTTGTTTGCCAGAGACCCCCGGCCGTGCAAGGACCATAGAAGGTCCCAGCAAAAAAAAAAAAAAAAAAAATCCTGAAAAAAATTATGTTATGCGTTTCGTAAAAAAAAAAAAGAGGAAGAAAAAAAAGGAGGAAGTTAATAGTTATGCACAAAAATAAACCGAACAGCTTGTTTGTTACTTTTGTGTCACGTCGTAATTCTTTACCGAATTGTACATGCCGGTCTCTCTTTCTCTCCCACATGTGCCCTCTGACGTCCTCTGACATAATTACTGTGCAAATCATAACAGGGCACCCATCCTCCCTCCATCTCAGCAATCAGATATGGAGGATGGAGCACCACTTCCTCACCTTCGTGGAGACAGCAGCAGATCACACGTGTCGTCGCCAGGTACGTTCAGGTAAGCTTCCCCACATCACAGCCCTGATCCTCCTCCTCCTCGCCAACACTCATCACCTAGTCTATATCTACGTGGATATGGCCGCACCAACATAATCTCCCTCCAGGCGGGCGCCCACTTCCGGCATCTGGCACCAGCATCCAGCTCCAGCAGCCTCGCGTCATGACACTAGCATCAAACCAGCAGCACAGGACAGAATGCCTTCCCCAGTTCCCGACCATCCTTTTGTAGCGTCAACTGGTGCTGACTGGCGTGGACCAGTTGCCCCTTTGACAGTGTCGACGCTCCAGATTTCCCCCCGATCTCGACGGCCTGGATGCAGCCTTGAAGCAGCAGTACCTTTTCCCAGTCAGGACAGGAATCTTCCGGATACCTGCAGATAACCAATGCTGTGCATCTGATTGATGGCCGTGGCTGACCGGCGTGGACCAGTCGCCCCTTTGACAGTGTCGACGCTCCAGATTTCCCCCCGATCTCGACGGCCTGGATGCAGCCTTGAAGCAGCAGTACCTTTTCCCAGTNGACCAGTCGCCCCTTTGACAGTGTCGACGCTCCAGATTTCCCCCCGATCTCGACGGCCTGGATGCAGCCTTGAAGCAGCAGTACCTTTTCCCAGTTGGGACAGGAATCTTCCGGATACCTGCAGATAACCAATGATGTGCATCTGATTGACGGCCGTGGCTGACCAGCGGGTTGACTTTGACTTCAGGCCTGTCGGTCCCGTGCTTGGTCTGACTCTTGATTTTCCCGGAGTCGAGTACGGCGCGTGGGGCCTCTGGACGCTGTGTTTTTGGCCCTGCCCTGGGTACCCCTTGACTTAGGTCTTTGCCCAGGCCGTTCACAGACGTGGGGTGTGACTCTTGACCCCCGTTTGAGGCCTTGGACCACAAGTGACGACCTGTAGCCCATGGCTTTGCAGATTTGGCTGAGTTATTGCACAAAGGGACGCTGGACCCGTTTTCCAGCAGGTGTAGCTCCCCACCAACAGCCTGGAGCGACCAGGAAGCCAGCTAGGAGGGGGTGCTCTTGTCACCTCTCCTAGTTGAGCGACTGGCTCTTGTAACAAAAAAAAAAAGAAATAAAAAAGCACTACTGAGTCAGTATTGAACACAAATGTTGATTACCTTGTCTACTCTGCTTTCGAGGACGAAGTGAGGGATGTATCATTGTGATTCTATACAATGCAAGATCCCGCCTGCCCGGATTGAGAGATGTTGGCTGTCGATAACAAATCTTGACAGCTGAAATCTCCGTAATGCGCGCAAGCGGGACCTTGCCCCTGAGCTGTACTCCTGTTCTGATGGAATCAGATGAAGAAAAATACCTGTTTTAAAAATACCTGTGGCTGGTCAGTTTACCTAAAGGGTCGTTGCCCTTTAAAAACAAGAAAGAAAAAAAAACAAAAAACAAAAACAAAAACAAAATATGTTTAAATATCCAATCGTGCTGTATGTACGGCTGCTCCCCGGATCAGAACTGTGGCCATACGGTCACATTTTTCTTTCTTTTTTTTTTCGCTTTTTTTTTTTTTTTTTCCCCTTCTTGTTTTTCTTGTTTTTTCAACTTTTTGTTTTTTCAACTTTTTTTTTCCCCTTTTTTTCCTTTTTTTTCCTTTGATTTAAAATTGTTATTAATCATTTGAATTTATTAAATTTTATTTCCCTTTATTTAAATTATTTTCCTTCTTTTTTTTTTTTTTTTTTTTCAAAATTCAAAGTTTTTCTTTTTCAACCTTTTTTTTTCTTTTTTTTTGTTGCTCGTTTTTTTCCGGGGTATGGGTACACTGGCATTAACTGCAAAAAACAGAGACCAGGGAGTGTTTGTCTCGGCTCTTGAATTAATATAAAATATTATAAATACCTTAAGATTGCACATTGACGGGCCGTAGCCATTACAATGAAATACAGTCTTCCCACCGAAGCCCAATGCTAAGCGCTGTAAGTCACCTTGGCATCCAGTCTGGAAAAAATAAATAAATAAAAATTCACAAATGATGAAAAGCAGCAAAAACGAACAGGCCTTAGATCAGTTGGTACAGGCAAGGAACTGTTGAAACACAGACCCAAGCTCGAATCCAGCTGTGATCAGATGAACAGAATAATATAACCTGGGGTCGGTCAGCTCAATGATCATATCTCAAGGCCATAACCCTTCTTTGAGAAAGGGAAAAAGAAAAGGGAAAAAGAAAAGCAGCAACATCTCAGATTCTTAACGACTATCCACCCCGTTCGAGTGGGAAAAACAAAAACAAAAACAAAACTACTTGAGGCAGTACCACATTCCACAGTACCAGAGTACCAAATCCAGGGGGAGGTCCCATTTGCAAAGAGGATTGGATTAACCGCCTGAATCTGGATGTTTTTTTTTTTTTTTTTTTTTTTTTTTTTTGGATGTGTTTTACGCAGAGATGCAGAACAGCAGATCTATCGTGAGTTTGTGGTCCTCTCCGCAAACACGTCCAGATTCGTACCTTCAGTCCAATCCTGTTTGCTAGTGGGACCTTACCCCAGTATACCACATCTGCAGTACCACGCCGGCATTCGGCAGTGCCTCATTTTTCCACAATACCACATCCACAGTAGGTGCTATCGTCTTCCCCCCAAACATAACGCACCCAGATAATGAATGTATACAAGCTATCTCTCCGGTCTGGTGCAGCCATAATGTGGTTGCGTTCCGGATAATGAATGTATACAAGCTATCTCTCCGGTCTGATGCAGCCATAATGTGGTTGCGTTGTGTTCGGGGGGAAGTTGGTAGTTGCACAGGTACACCTTTACGTAACAGAAAACTGAAAAAGAAATGGACTCCAAGTCCGACTGTCTTCACCCGAATAGAACACCCACCCGGTCATTATACCTGTGCCTGTACTAAAAGTTGCCCCAAATACAGCCATAATTACCAGGCTTCCTTCTTTTTTTTTTTTTTTTTCTTTTTTTTTTTTTCAGGCTTCCTATTCAGGTTGGTGGAGTTTTGGATCCCTTGCTGGCATTATACCTGTATCTGGACTGAAAGTTTCCCAAATACACGCAAGGTAATCCAGATGAATACACGCATTGATTTAGGAACACATTACACACCTTGCGTAGACTTTTTTTTTTTTTTTTTGGCAATTTTGTCTTGAACACCTTGTGTAGACTTAGCTTCCTACAGTGTAAGGGCCAGATCCCACTGGCAAAGAGGGTTGGAAGAAGTGTCTGAATCTGGACGTGTTCCACGCAGAGGTGCAGAAAAGTAGATCAATCACAATTTTTCGCACCTGTCCACTAACACGTCCACATTCAGACACTTCTTCCAATCCTCTTTGCCAGTGGGATCTCGCCCTAAAACATATTATGACT